TTCCTTCCTTCCTTCCTTCCTTCCTTCCTTCCTTCCTTCCTTCCTTCTTTCTTTGATAAATTTATGCCAGGCGTTACTAAGTATTGTACACGTACATTTGCTTACATACTAGATTAATTCGGAGAATAAGCCGTTATAAATGTTATACGAAAAAATACCTTCTACTTCTCAATTACATTTCAGTAAATTGATGTTTTGAGGGGAAGAGTATTTAGTAAAAATGTAAACAACAACAACAAAAAAAGAAAGAAACAGCGTAAAGCACAACTTGTAAAATGTAAATTATATATAGTTTAAGAGTCTCGTGTCTTTAGACCACATTAAAATCATGAGATATTGCAGCTGCTTACCTTCAAAAATGCTTTTGATGCAATGTTTTGTCAGTGTGAACGCTTCGAGAAACCATTCAAGAAACCCTTGGATTTCTTTGGCAGTCAGCCTGCTGGAATATGAAGCTCCTATTACGGTGGTTTTTATCGTAAGTTTGAACTAGAAGTTCTTGAATATCTTATCAGGTGCCGACTCGATCAGATAAGAAGTGTCTTGCTTGCTCTCTCTTGGATTATGCAGACAGACACGTATTAAGAAAAAGGGACAGATGGATGAGGAATGGAACGCTTTAGATAATACCAGTTTTTATTGCTCTAGCATTTTCAGGAATTGATAAAACACTCAAAATTATAACGTTGAAAAACGTATTTATTGAAAATAAAAGTGTACGTGTTGAAATGAGCAATTATAATTGCTGATCAGTATAGGTAGATTCTAGAGGCAAATGGAAGAAATGTTTGGATTCACTTACCAAGGTGATAATAACTAAAGTAGGTACGTGAGTAGCGGTCCTCTGCCGAACCATTCATTAAGATACGGGTTTTTGATCACATTTGAAAGCTACGGACGTAATCGGATTTTCTTCACCGTAAAGAGATTTAAACTCAGATTAAAAATAAAGACCTTGGTCCGTGCTTCATTGTCTATGTCTGAGTTGTGTTCATATTAATGTTTCTTCTTGATGGACAGATATATATATTTCGCTGCTCAATTTTCACAGACGCTTCACCCCATTCTCGTACCCAAACCCTTCTCACCAAAAATCGAGGGCGTTAGAAAGCTGAGAAGGCTTTGGGTACAACTGGCTTCATCCATGAAACATCAGTCTTTCAGTGATATCATTTCATTTCAGATCATTTGGGTAGACACTGGAGTTCTTCAGAGTTCTATTTTGGGCCCATCCCGACATTTCACCTCTGTTTTTTAAACGGATTATAAACTGCTTTAAATCTTTGGTGCTATAGGCGAAATTAGGCATACGAACCTGCATGTACGTCATCAAAATTTACATTATCAAAGCCTTGGATATATGCCAAAATTATTCTAGGGTGATGTTATTTAATCCGTGTAAAAATAGTACGCATAATAATGAGTAGCAGACTCTAAACACCTTGTTTTCTTATGCCTCTTTAAATAAAATTCAATAAAATCATTCTTATATCCTGTATTCACATTATATCTACCACAATACTCGTTCAGCTGTACAAAAATATTTTATTATTAAACTAAGTAATTTAATAAAGCATTACAATATTTACAAACTATCATGGTATCTTTTCTTSTAGTGTTAGTTTTATTGACAAAATCGTTAACTAATAATATCTAATACTTTGGAAGATAAGGAAATCTTCTCGATACCAGTCTCTCGCTGTACTCAGATGATCGATCCAGGCCTGGATACCCAGCTAATGGGTAGCCATGGTAACTATGTGGAACTTGGTAGTCATGGTGACGGTCAGGTGATGTACCGTTGATCAGGTCGTTCAGGTAGAGCAGCTTGGCGTAGTGTTCATCTTCTTCGGCCATTTTTTTCTTCAGTTTTGTTCTCTTGTTTTGGAACCAGGTCTTGACTTGTTCATCAGTCATGYCCAGTTCTAGTGCCAGATGTCGTCGTTCTTGCTTACTCAGGTAGTTTCTCTGGACGAATATGCTCTTGAGACGTGCTACTTTATGGGGTGCGAACGATGGTCTGGTCTTTCTGTTCTCATTTGAAGGCTCTGATTGGTCAGGACTTTCTGTTGTATCTGGAATAAGAAATAAATCAATARATATCAGCATTTTAAGAAAGATGGATCGATCGTGAACTCGTTATAATCACAATATTACAAACCTTTTTCATCTGCAGAATCTTCATCACTATTACTACTGCTGCCACAACTACTAATAGGAGGAAAGCAGTATCTYGGGAACCCTGTGGTAACTACAGCTGGTGTATCAGCGGGCATCTTGTTAGYGTCATGCGTGTCTCGTAGAAGATCATCGATTAGAAAAGACCCTCTTGGTCGAACAGCAGAAACTGTAGACATGGTGTTGGTTTAACGACTGATTGATGTTGCTACTTTTGTGATGTTCGAGTCTGAATGAGGGTACGGTGCTCCATCAGACCGTATTTATGGAGGATGATTACAATATCAAAAACACGCCGCTCTTTGTGCGGTTGATACCGCTCTAGGCTGCTACCTTTACTCATTGAAGTAACCGCCACTACCAGAAAGTAGGACTGACTGGCATAACCAACTTTCCATGTTTTGGCGGGAAGTACAAACACGCCGAGCTTTTGGCGGGAAATACAGATACGCGACCTTGCATGATAAGGCGGGAAACATGAATCTAACATTAACATACAGTTCAACAATTCAACTGTGTTGTGCTTACCCTTTCCATAATATTTTAAGAACTTAGATAATTGTAAACAAAATAAATAAATAAATAACGTCGATCAGTGACAGAGATTTTAACTTAATCAGTAGATACGTAGTTGGCGACCGCATTTTTGTACAAACCTGAAGAAACGCATTGCATGCATTCCGATTAAATCAGTAAAGATTGTTAGTAGACTAATAGATGATCATAGTTGTAGACAAGAGATCTATATTCTTGTATTCTTGTTTTTCTGTATTCTTCTTTCGCTCAAAATTCAAATATATCATACTGTTAGGTCTGTTTCACAGGAAAAGTAAGATCAGTCATGCACAATGTGGGTTCTTGTGTAGAATACATAACCCGGATACCAAAGACAGCCGCTCTTTGTCGAGAGCTTTAGACAATGGAAACTCGTTCCAATCGCCGGCTGTTTGTTTTTTAGCTTCTGTGGTAAAAAGGACCGAGTTTTGGGCGTAAAATACAAACGCAGAACTGAGGTTTTGGCGCGAAATTCAAAAGCACCGGCTCACTGTGTTTTGGGCGCGCGGTAAAATAAAAACCGAGACGTGCAACATTTTGGCGGGAGATTCAAAGACACAACACACGCGCTTCTTTTGGAGTCGAATGAACTCGCAATTTAACGAAAACAATAAGAAAGCAATTATAGAAATGATCTCTTTTGTTTGGTTATCTGACATGGCGCACTGGTTCCGACTTGAACGAATCTACCAAACTAACTAAAAATAATACTTAGTTTTGATGCAAGTAATGGCCGCCATGTTGGTTTACTTCAATCCAAAGTCAGTTTTTTGAAGTTTTCTTCTGCAATATCAATAAACATGGCGGTCATTTTCCTGAATCTCAGGAATGGCTGACTGAGAACCAGGAATGCCTTCAAAGAGAAAGAGTAATTCCACTTCATCAACAGTAAAAAACATTTTGTCAGATACGGTAATAATCGTGAATGATTTCACGTCACTCGTGATGGTTACACTTCACCATCATAGTCAAAACGTTAAAGGCTTATTTGTGCACATTTGGAATATCAAAATCTGAAATAATATTGATTCAAAATCTATTGCTGCTACTTTTCCTGACAGCGAGACAACTCCAAATACTTCTGTATTTCATTTCCATTTATCGATAACAACAACAACAACAGCGGTGTGTTCGAGTAATGTTTTGATTGATGGAAGCCAAAAATCCAGACGACTATAGACGTTGTGGCCGTCTCATAAAAATGACAAGTAYTAAGGGTTCTCGATAAACTATCAATTACTTCAAAGGTTTGTAATATTYATTTTCATGAAATTATTTACATAGCTAATGATTTTATGATATAAATGTTTACACTTCTACTAGAGTGGTTTTACTTGGTCAGTGAAAGAATAATAAGCATACTACATAGTATTAAAAAATACACAATTTGATATGGTAACTAGATTTACAGAGTAATTTTCGTCAAGGTCCTTTTTAGATCGATATATAATAGGCCCTTTGCAGTTAAC